TTAGTTATGTTAGTATTGCCTTGATTTTCCAACATTTACATGATAGACAGTAAATTTCACTTTTCACCCACATTTACTTCCAACCTTTTCTTTTGAACCAGAAAAAAATGATATATGTTTAAAACACATGACATTATCCACCCTTGTCAAATGTAATAGCATGATCATTTCAATCGTAATACCTTCTTATCCCAACGTTATTCCGTTTCTTTGTTACATTAACAAACACTAAACTACTGCTAGTACTCTAAATATGACAATCAGCCACAAAATTCCCTAAACCAGATAACATTAAACATAATCCAAAAAAATCATGTAAAGACATCTTTCAATTCACGAGTTTGCTCACAGAGCACTTTGATTCACATATGTGCCTAGCATTGTTTTTGGCTTACATGACCAACCGGCGAATTTTTAAACGGAAAAGCGAAGCTTCACCTTCGTGACTGGCCATTTGTTTACTTTTCTGGTGGTTTTACCTCTCATTGGTTTTGTGACTACGCAAATATTAATGTGAAAATCAGATTAAATGAAGGCTTGAAATTCCATCAAGAACGATTGTGGCCGCTTTGTTAAAAACCAAATGCAAAGGCCGCTTTGTTTAAAACAAAACATGTCAAGAAACGGGCATGGAATGTTTCACAAGAGTGCAAATGATCGTGAAAGTGAGGGTTACTAATATTTTGCTGCTAGAGCAACATTTGATGCCTGACCATGCCCACCCAGCCCACCCTCCGCCCCACAACCACACGCACACCAACAAAAAGGACAGTCTGCCTAATGACCTCTGCCCATCCCACCTTCAGCCCACACAACGTTTTTTTCAATTCCCATCACGACGAATGCACAAGTTTTCTTATCACATAACTGCCCAAAAATAAAAGAAAATTTATTCCAAAAGTCTTGAAAGTTCACATGAACCGAATTCAACTGTGTGTATATTCAGCAAGTCTAAGAAATAAATGCAAACTTAAGACATAACATGAGTGAGCTGGCTCCAAGAGCCCTTAATTTTTATGTCATGGGTTCATGTCTCGGTGGGAATTTCCATGTTCACAGCTCGCTTTGTCACTCACAAACTCTTCGGGATTCTCGCTGCTTCTCGTTATGTTTAGCGCACGGACGATTCGAAGACCCTTCAAATTTGGTCTTTAAGTTGATCATAACACTAATCTGAAACATTCGAAGTCCATTTCAATTTAGTAAATGTCGAAACAGCCGTGTAAAGACAATAAACATCGCAACGATCGATGCAATCACAATGGCGCCAGGACTTCGGACTTCTTCGGAAGGATAGATCTCGAGTTCGGAGACGACTGATTAAAACTAATTACAACGAGTCTGCGCAATTTGCATATCCCAAAGTGCCCACAACAACTCGTTTCTTCGCTATCGCATATCCACGAGTTACAAAGGGGCTATTCTGTAAGGATAATAAACGACTATGCATGCAAGATTTATTTTTTGGATGGTTGGGTTGAAAAAGGTCACTAACTGATGCTTACATTTTTGATAAAGAAAAAGAGCGTTTACTTTTAAAAGATTCCAATAAAAACAAGGTTCAATGGAGAGAGAAAACCCGTAGCTTTGTGTTGAAAATTTTTAAATACAATTTTTAAAAAAATCGTATATTAAACAAAACTTTTGGGACATATCAACACATCAAAATAGAGAATTGGTTCATGCTAAGCGCGTATATCGAGTTATGGATGCATGCTGGAAGTTTGGAGAGTAGGAGAGAAGCGTACGAGTTTCTCGAGGCCCAAGCTAAGACTATGCTAACTGCTTTTCCTTCATCACAGACAAAATCGTTACAGCTAGTATAACTAAAAATTGCGATAAAATATTTCTTATAAACACTATAATACGACATTTCGACGTTGACGTAATGTCATTATCAAGTAAAAAAAAGCAATAAAATTATGCAGCCAAAAGAGTTGAGGAAAACAATAGGTATTGAAAATAAAAATAATAAAGATAAACAAAAACTTTTGCTCGTTTAAATTAGGTTTGAGTTTTTTTGATGAAAATGATTTAAATTCTAAACAATCAAACCTGCTCTGACATTTCAACGGAGTTATAAAAGGGCTTTTAGTAAGATCGCTTATATCGAGCGCTGTAGCGAGATGTTCGCCAATTGCCAAATTCTTGTGTTCAGCAACACTTTGAATCAAAGAGTACCTATGACCAACTCGTGCATCAAGTAGTTAATCTGGAGATGAAACCTGGTTGTGAACTTGTGATAATTCGCCTTGCAGCAATGTAAGTTTACTTTTATCTTAAAAGCCAAGCCTCAGGAAAATCACGGAGAGTTCCACGATTATGGTAACCATTCAACTCCGCAGAATAATAGACGTTAACAAAATCTACAAAAACAGCACAAATTGGTATCCTGCATTTAACGAATTTCCGTTAACGCTGCAATCCAAATCTTTCTTCGCCTACACAAACCAAATTTCATTCAGTTCTCTCGGGTGCGACTTCATGAACAAACAAACATGTCTCTTTTCTGAAACAATTGCTTAACCCCTATAAGTGATCAGGACAGAATTTCTCCTTACGATATCAATACAATATCAAGCAGACAAGTGAGGAGAATAAAGAAAAGTATCAGCTAGGAGATTATTCGTTGACCCAATACCAAATTCCCAAAACTAACATCACAAGAACTGTATGGCAGACAGTAAGGAGAATTACTAATGAGATCTTGGGAGTTAAAGAGTTAACGGTCTCTCAACTTGAATTAAATTTTAAACGACCTCTTTCACCAAAGTAGACAAATGGTTTGAAAATTGGGGAATGTAACATTGGGTATACCCTCGAATATGCCCCAGTTTTAACTGGGACATATTGGATGACGTAATGCGCTTAGAAAAATCGCGCGCGAGCAAAAAATATTTTTTATAAATTATAATTGCTCAAATCTGTTTGGTTCTGCGCCATTTAAAATATTTTAATTAACACTACATAGAGAATAAGACATGGGCGCGCTAGATATGAAATTTATCTTCAAGTTGAACACGAATTGTGAAATTCCATATCTACAAGCAACTATGTATTATTTTGTTCATCTTCTTAATCCATAGAGAGTTCCGACAAACTACCTTGTATCGAGAATCGTGAAGGCTTTGCCGTTCATTCATCAACCTGATCGAGTGGCGCGAAAGGCGAGTGACGTGTCAACAGTTGATTGGCGATATAAAACACACGTGAAAAAAATATCGTATTTTTTCACGTGTGTTGTTACGGTATTTCTCAGGGCTGGAAATCCTTGTATAACATCGTAGTTTATATGATAAATCCATGTTACATGTATATTCTGTCAGGTTGGTAACTTACGGAAGGAAATTCATAACTACCAACTGAAGCCAACTGAAGGTAATACATGGAATTGAGTATAGGGTCATGGGTTTAAAGTTTCTTGTCTGTCACACTTGTCAAACTGGCAAATCTGACTAGAAGAGTCGGTTTGGTCTGCCCCACAGAGAAAAACACAAAACCCAAAGACTAGAAGCGGCAGGAAGGAAAGAATCTCAAAGTCTATGCATTCCACGATACACTGATCATAAATTATAGCCAACCTTTAAATTGGCACTCAAAGCAGTACATTCGGCTTGAGTGAATGGGTAACATTTTACGTATAATTTTTCTTATTTCATCGTTCTGTTATCTCCTTTGCAAATGGATAGTACCTGTTAAATTAATTATTGTTTATCAACTTTTGTGTTGTAAAGGTAAAAGTCGATTAAAAGACCTGCAAGAGATTTCAAGGTATTCTAAATGTAGGTCTCACTTTCTGAGTTTGCTCGAAAGCGTCCCAAAAGTCATGGAAAGATTCAGTATAATGGTAACCATCCAACACTGCAGAATAGTAAAAGGCTTTCCACAGGCAGTCTACAAAACCACTACAAGACAATATCCTGTGTGTAGCAAATCTCCATATACAAATGTTTTCTTGCTGCAAAAACTTACTAGTTAACCCTATCACTCACGGAAACATGTTAAACTTAATCTTACCTGGTGTGTATGATTCACTGGTATCTAAATGAAATAATTAGAGAATATAGAGTTACTAAATTGAACCATTTTCATTGCCAAAACACTTTGTTGTTTGATTGATTTGTTTAAAAATTTAGTAGGAAAAACTTTGGATCAATATCAGTATCTGGGCAACTGCCCACCTACCCCTTCCCTAACCCAACATTAACCTTAAGTTGTTGTCAATTGACTGTTGTTGAGTTAGGGGAGGGGTAGGTGGGCAGTTGCCCAGATACTGATATTGAGATATTGATCCCAAACTTCTAAGTCCAAACATCGTGCAAAACAATATGGAAGTGTGTAAACATGTACTATTACTCCCAACAATTTCAAAATCAAAACTTGTGTAGTACCGGATAAATTTACTTCTGGGAGGTTTGAGACAATTTCATGTGTTGTAAATTGGCCAAGATATACATACATACATCTACATATCTATTTTTCAAAGTTATGGCTGTTTCATATAAATTTAGCTAACTATAGGAAAAATTTGCAGGTCTTCTCCTAAGTCATGGAAATGAACTGTCCTTCATTATTGCATCCCTCAATGCACCCACAAGTTTCCCCCCAGAAAAGAGGCAGAAAAGATATATGTTGCTTCAAGGGAGATCTTATTAAGTTAGCACAACAATAGGACAAATATTAAAAGAACAGATTAGCAAATATAGTGTACAGGAACTCTGTAAGCATAAGGAAATAGATAGCTGGAAGTAACTTTTCCTATTCTCCTGTACTGATCCCACTGTCCATAGCAATAGAAACAGGTTTTCCTTGTGTTTCTACTATTTATGAAAAAGAGGGAAGAAGGGGGGGAAAGTTTATTCAAGGGAGGTGCTTATTAAAGCATGGGTGCTAATTCAAGGAAATATGTTAAGTCATCTTGATTTGTGATATGTACAGGAATACATGTAGACAGATCAAAATCACATATGTTCCTGCAAAAAGAAAAGAAAGATTGAGACAGGAAGCAATACCTGCATTAAAGTGAGGCCAATCTTGGAATATGACTGGATCATTCAAAATGTTGGCCACAACAGAGGCTGCCATCACACTAGCAATTTGTTTCCATTTCTTACTTGAATACTGGGTTTCATCTACAAAGTCTTTTATGCCCTTGACTATCAAACATTCTGTATTAAAATCATGGGCTGCCACATGCACTCCTGAAGAGAAAAAAAAACCACACTCGTGTCTGTTAACTACATATGAAGCCCATTTTCTTAGCATCCTAACAATAATTGTTCAATCAAAACTAACATCACAGAAAGATGTTAGTACTGAAATCTATTTTTTTTTCAACCAGTAATTTAAAAAAATTGTACACAGAGACTAAAATAATTCTTCAGGCTTCACCTTGTTTCATAAGTAACTTTCAACATTTCTTAAAAGACAAACTTTTGTTGGTTAGAGTTAACAAGGACTGTGATGCTGTTCCTTAACTCTCACATTATCTAACAAAATACTTTCTACATTCTTCAGATGACAAATTTAAGACAATTCATGACATCCTGATGGAGCACATTCAATATCATTATCCAGAAGACATCTCAGTCACCTTCACTTGCAGAAAAATCTTCCTACCCTAGCCAAACATAAAATCACCATAAATACAAAATATATAATTCCTGCAAATTTGGCATGCTATATGGTGTATGCTTGGACCAGCAGAGACAATACCAGAGCAGTGTTTTTCAAAACATTTGCTACATGTGCAAAAGTGCTTGGCTCATCAATTATTTGTATTATTATGATTCTCACCTCCACCTTCCATTTCAACTGCAATTGCTTCAGGATGTTTCCTAATCATATCTCTGTTTGCCTCTGAGATACTCAGAACCACCCCATCACAGTGCACTTTGACATTATATTCATCAGAATTTTGTAAAGGTGCCTTCCACCCATCAGCCACATGTTTGATCAGGTTACCAATATCTATGCTGGGGGGAGTTTTGTGTGCAGCTGTTATCAGCTTTGCTGAAACAACCACATCTCCTAACTTGACCATTTTGCTGTTCAAACCACTGCAGGCACCAACAGAAAAAATAGCCTTGGGTCTCAGTAGTAAGATGGCATCTTTTGAAACAGACAAGGAACCCCCAGGAACATCAGGACCTTTGGAGCACCTCATCAAAGCAATTTTTGTCTTCTTTCCTTGATCATCACCCATGCACCCAAAGTACACATAGCCAGTATCGATGTGGTAACTCTTAAAGGGTTCCTTCAGATAGGCAAAGCAGCTTAAGAACTCACATTCCTCCACTGTTAATAAAAGAATGTCAACAGGAAGTTCAACATTGCTCCAAACAAATGAGGTTTCAGGAAGATCGCTCAACTTTGGAAATTTGACACTGAGCTCTGGTGGGCTACTATCGCCAGTCTGTGCTGATCGATTTTTTGATAGCTTTATTACTGCCTCTGAAAAAGAAGGTTGTAGTTTTTCAAGTCATTTGCATGTGACAAATAAGTAGCTTACCCAAATGAAAATCAAAAGATAGGAAAGATGATGAAGGAAAAAGAAAACCATGGATACAGTTGACATATCAGGGGAATAAAGATTCAGAACTTCAATTACGCATAATTGTGACTTAAAAAAAAAAAAATCTACAAGAAATTCATTTCATCTGACGATCCAGTCTGACTTACATTATTGCCTCTACAAAGTTAATTTAAAACTCAGCTTTAACAAAAAATTGCACACACCTCTCTCCCATAAATTTGGTTCATAAATGTCAAAGGAATCCTCCATGTCCCCTTCCTTTCTGGCCTTTTTCACAATTTTGTCTTCATGCAATTTGTCTGTGATGCAGTCATCATCTTTCAACCACTCTCTCAGAAGCTCTTGGTAGTGTTCTTCAAAATCGGCATCCATACGATGGAATGTAGGATCATCTATGACTTCCTCATAGCAGGTCCCTCCAATACGCAGAAAGGTGTCTTTGATGTTTTTCCAGTTCAAACTAAATGTTGGATCATCAACTGAAGCATTAGTGGCATGACTGAAAACTCTGTCCCTGAAAAACTTGATGCGAGTGATGTCAGCTTCTGGAGAGGTGTCTGATCCTGGAGGAAGGTTATTCCAGCCAGAGGCAGGGAGAGTCAGACCAAAGATATTCCTCAGAAGAAGTAGCAGTAGGGAGCTGTCAAAGTCCCCTGAGAAAACTGACCGTTTGACTACAGGATACAGTTTCTCCCACTGGGTGATACTCAGAACTCTCTCCTTTTGAAGTTTTTGTAATTTGGCATGGTTTGTGGGATTAGTCAGAACTGCCTGAAGGTTTTCTGGTGGACATACCCTATCAAAGATCTTCCTTAGAACATGTGATCCAACTTCAACAAGAAGGCGACACAGCTGGGCATAATTTGAGGTTTCTTTGGTACAAGGATATGGTGTAACAGAAGCCATGAAGACATTTCTCCTATAAAGAAATGCTTATTATTATTACAGGCAATTCTATACAACAATGCTTTAAGCCACAGACAAAAAATCAACAGCAAGAACAAAAAAGCTCTAGCAGATAAATTTAATGCCTTTTATTAAATCTGTGGGTCCTGCAATAGTAAATAAGATTGATATTCTTGTTTGCAAACAAAATAACACTCCTTTATACATGTCCTTTGTACTGAGAAGCCATCCATTGTCTGAACAATTCGATTTCAAACCCATGGACTCCCAAAAGGCAGTATCCTCTGCCCTCTGTGAAGAATATATGTGAATGACCTCCCCATGATAATCAACAATTTTTCTTCTGTATGTTACATCAACAAAACTAGACCCCTCCTCTCAAACCCCTGGGAATATCTTCGCTTACATTTAAATTGGTCAATATACTGTTTTTATTAGAATCAGTTATTCTAGAGATTGGAAATACTTCATCTAAGTCCAGTGTGAAATAAAAATATTTGCTAACATGCAAGCGGCTTCTGAATCACAAATCCATGTTTCAAGTGCTTTGTCCTTTGCTATTGTGTTGCTTGCAAGAATGAAATCATTTCCCTGAAACTGCGGATCAAAATCCTGAAAAAAGGTTTCTTGAGGGTCTCAATCCTCCATTCTCAATCCCTGATTCTTAAAAGTTTCAAGGATTGAGAATTGAGTTTCAGGTCAAAACTGTCAACTTATTGCTGAGCACTACTGAAGCAGACAATGAGAGGACCTTTTTTCATTCTATGAGGCCACTATCTTTCTAAAATACTCCTTTTGCTTGGTTAAATGCTTCAACCATCTTTCTCAACCTTGTCCAAGTGACAATAATAAATTTTGGTAGACACAATGGGATTAAAGGTTTACTATGCATTTTTTAGGGTTAAACAAGAAGCCATCTGAATCATATTATAATTTAATTGCCACTGGAGGAATTACACTCTGATAGGAATGAGGAAATACACGACATAATTCAAGTGAAAGAATAATCCTTCACACATCTTTGTCATGATGCTAATTCTCTACATCTCATTTTTAATAATTACATGTTTCACTGTCCCTCAACACAGAAGATATTATCTTAAGAATTTTCCTAGCTTTCTCAGCAAATCTAGTAAAATTTGGCAAATACTACTGAATGTGAATATATAATACACTGAGTACCAATGAGTAAATGGTTCCAAAAATACAACCAAAAAATACAGAAAGTGTTAACAGAAGCACTAAGCCCAGAGTTTAAATGTTTTGGCAAGATAGATACATTTTGTAGCGATTATTAACCCTTTTACTCCCACAAGTGACCAAGACAGAATTTCTCCTTACAATATTAAACAATATAAAGCAGGTGGGTGACAAGAATTGAGAAGAATATCAATTATGGGATTATTAGTTGATCCAATGCCAAATTCTCTGAACTAACATCATCAATCTTTATTTACAAGAAGTTGGGTGATAGCTCAATTTGTAAAAAAAAAAAAAAAACAAATAGAAAAGAAACAACACTTATAATACTATAAAAAACCAAGTAGAAAGAAGGTCGAACCTTTATTATGGTCAGGTTCGATATGAGAGAATTATAACACTTCAGATTCTGGCAAGGTTCTGGCAAAGTGATGCCTGGTTGCATGCATATTGAAGGAGCAGAAAAGTACAATGTTCATGAGATAAATTTCGTAAACCTGCTTCCCGATTTGGATTGTTCGAGACAACAGATGCACTGTCTTGCAGTTTCTCTGAGTTCATTACGAACGCAGTCAATCAGTTCAAACTGCTAAGTCTTTCAGACGCATCGTTACTATCAACATTGGACGCCCGGTTCTTATCGGCAACACGCACGTTCTAGCTCGAAGCGATACGGCCCTACTGCAGCCATTTTTATTTCCCATCAAGGTTGAGCGTATCCAAAATAGCACCGTTTTCGGCGCCATTTTGGATACGCTCTAAATGCTTGATTCCATATGGTTAGGAAGCGCTTTGGTGAAATGGTAAGGAATGAGTAAACAAGCATCAAAAGCAGGCGAATGCAGAGATATCAAGTAACAATTCGCAAATGGTTCGAAAATGCACGTACGTCTCCGTCACATCCTCAAGCACTAAGCCACAAGGTTAAACAATTTGGCTCGAAAGACACATTTCCCTCGCTATTAGTTACAGGAATCAAGTTGGAAAGTATATAGTAAATGGATAACTTTACCTTGGCAAAAAATCGTCCCCTCATAAACGTTAAATAAATCTTTCTACACAGAGATCCATCCAACTCGGTTACATCGCATAACCTGACACAAAGGTTGGTCTTCAAGATTTGAGAGCAACAAAGGAGAATTTTGACTGATTGGCTTAGAGCAACTCGAAAATACTGGTATTCTATTGGCTAATCCCAGGGCTAATCCCAAATGCCATTCCAAGTGGGTCGACGCTAGGTAACGTATCTGGCGAAGAAGACCCGAGTGATTAGCATTTTCCGATGACGTCATCTCCTGACTGCACTGTAAACTCTTCGGAATTAACATGGCGCCGTAAACGCGAAACGAGTAGTTCGTGTTGCGGGCGATTGCAGGTTGTAAGCTCAAACTAGGCCACGCATCTTTTTGGTTTACGGAATTGCAGACTAATAAGCAGTTCAGCAGTTTGCGGAACAAGCAAAAGGATGTTTCCGGAGGAACCCACGAGCTGGTCTATTCTCGATCTACCTCACCCGATGTTCTTTGGACCTTTGCGCAGGACAATACATAGCATAGGGTGAGGATTATTATTATTATTTCGAGAAATTTAAGCTATGTAGTTCAGTGTCTATCTTATACACTCTGTTTTTTGGCCTTCTTTGTTTAAGTGATGGAACTTTGTTCAATATTAGTGTTATTTTTCTGTGTCAAAACTTCAGTCAAATTTATAAGCTTACATGTATCTTAATAATAATTACTCGAAAAACATTACTTGAAAAAATTGGTTAAGAACAACAAATTCAGAGCAAGTTATGTACCAATCAAATCATTGCCTCTTCACCTTCATTGTATGCCCACAGGGCAACCCTGCATCTGACTGATTGTTATGTCTCTGGTGTACATGTATCCCTGGGGTATGGATTTTGTATTGATAATCATATGAATGTGAGTGTAATTAATGATTTGCACAACAAGTGATATTTGAAAATTCTATCAAAATTGCATGAGCCTTTAAGCAAGTGCAATTTGAAAGAATTTTCAAATATTGCAAGTAGTGTAAATCCTTAATTGCTAAAGCTTTCCGATACGATTACTCATTTATTATATGACTGAGAAAATTACAAATGTGCTTGCATCAATTAGCACTGCAGTGCAAATTAAAAATTAAGGATAAATTTGCCTGCTATAAGTCAATCATAATGAAGTAATTTTCTCAGTCATATAATAAGAACTGAAACCTTCTGGTGTAAGATATTTTTAAAATCAACTTACCCCATGCATGAGGCCTTATGGACAGAGTTGTAGAAATTCTTGTTTGTAAAGCATATTAATTACAGAATATGTCATACATGTACAATGAATATGACATTGCATACTGTTGTATAAATAACATGTTGCAGGTGGTTCATCAAAACTTTAAAGTCATCTCAATATTTACAATTTACTCTGGCTTAGCCTACTGGCTAGTGATATGTCAGATTTGCTTAGCCAAAATAAATTTTTCACTATTCAGATAATTAATTTGTTGTGTAGGTTTTGGTAAAAAAAATTGTCAGCAAATGTACTGTTACATGCTTCATTAAAGCTCATGAGTACTGC